AATGAATAAGGAATCTAGGGTACAGGAATGTTAAGTAATTAGACCATATAATCAGTAGGCAACATAGTCAATTGTCAAACCCATTAGACTGGCCTCACTGATCTAACATCTTCTCTTGCACTACAAATTTTCTCATCTAAATAACAATAATTAATAATAATTTTTGTGCTTACTAAATATGATGTCCTGTGCTTTGCAAATATTACTTATTTAGTCTTTAAAGGCAACTTATGGAATTGGTATTTCCTTCATTTTATAGCTAAGGAGGCCAAAGAACAGGACTGAATTTCTTATCACTTCAAGTTATATCAATCTTGTTCCATCAGTCAGAATTTCTGATAGATCCATGTGTCCAACCCAGTTTGACATTTCTACTAAGTCCTGAAGAGATGACAAAAAATATTCAGGAACATAACAGAAGGTCCCAGTTTATCAATTTTCAAAAGTATTTACCTGCTTACTACATAATTAAAATACTTTTGGCTAGCACTACAAATTGCTTCTAAGAAAATGTAGCATGGAAAAACTGCAAAATTATCCTTGATAACTATAATTATAGAATGGTGGACAAAATGTTAGATTTCAGTTGATTAATGTACTGTGGATAGTTGCAACAGCTATCTCTATAGTGTTGAGAGCACATTGTCTCTTATTAGAGCAAAACTTCCAGGGATACTATTAAATAATGTTTCTGAGCCTGTGTTGGGACAGATAACATCTATATAACCTTACTTGGCTATTTAAATGCAAAATAGAATGCTGCTGGCATTATATTTAATATGTACTTTATTGTAGATAGAAATTCTCCATCTTTGCCAAATGTATTGACAAAAATTACCATAAGACCTGACTCTGTAATTTAAATACATTTACATATGTTATTATTTCATCTTTTTGATGATGGCCATCTCTTATATGGGAAAATGGAATCTCAGTTGTTTTGATTGCATTTAGTGGCCAGGGTATCCATGGGAGAATGGGTTTTACTTTGCTGGTGAGAATGCATACTAGTACAACCACTATGGAAATCAGTATGGAGAGTATTCAGAACGCTAAAACTAGAAATTTCATCTAACCCACCTATGCCCCTTCCATGTATCTCACAAAAGACTCAGAGGCATCATAAAGAGTGATTCATGCATATCTATGTTCACAGCAGCACAATTTATAATAACAAAATTTTGGAAGCAGTGTGAAAGTCCATCCATCAGCGAATGGATAAAGAAAATGTGGTATTTACATAAGATGGAATAAACCATCCTACAAGGAAGGGTAAATTTGAGGAAAGGAGGCAAATAGATACACATGGATGCAATGGTAAGTGACATAAACTAGACACAAATTGAATACTGAATGGCTTATTTTATGTGCCAAAATGTAAATAAAGAGGAAAATAAAATGGATAGGGGATCAAGAAATGGAAGGAAGGAAGAGAAAGGAGATGAAAAAGGAACACGCACATGTTATGCACATGTCCCGTCACCACATGAAGTATGTAACAATATGTACTGCAAATATGTACTAATAGATAAAACAAAATAAAATATATAATGCATTAAAACACGTTTTCCAAAAAATGTACTAGACTAGACTAGAGGGTGATTTTTAAATTTTTGAGTGTTGCTAAAAAAGGTCCTCACATCTACTGCCTTGGCCATTCAAATGTATAAGAACTTGAAATTAAAATAAACTAACCTCATTTCTGTCATAACCACCATCATAAACTATGTAGTTGCCTTTTTTCAAGGCTGTACTTTTTCTTCCTACCTATCTCTCTCTATTTGTCTTAGCAACAGTCTCACTAGGTAGGCATTATACACTTTTTAGAGATGCAAAACAAAAAGTTTCTAGTCAATATAAAAGCACAATAAATAATTCTGATTGAGATTCCGACTATCACTCAGTCTATGGATTAATTCCTGAAAGCTGAATAGTCACTATATATCATAAATGTATACTAGAAAACATAAATATTAAAATTAAAACTGGTTCAGATAACAATTTTCTTTTGCTATTTATGACTCTTAATAACTCAACACCATTATCTAACTTTCTGTCTATAGATACTATGTACTGAGCAAAAGATCCCAGTATGAGAAATGAGGAAAAAGTGAACTATGGTTTGCTGAGACCTTTTATCTGTAGTTTGCAAAAGTAACTTCATACATACCTAGAGAATTATTAGATGCTTTAAAACATCTTGCTCATTTAACTATTTCCAGATAAGAAAATCAAGTTTTTGGGTTTATAGCTCATTCTAGTTCCCTAGTAAAGTAATAGTCAGATTTAGTTTTCAAATACCAAACCGATGAACCTCATATATAATAAACTCTCTACTCCTTCATCCTAGGTAAGAGCTCAAAGAATAACTGAATCTTGCTATTTTCTCAGCTATCATGAAAGTACATCATCTTTGTGGTAAAAGATTTAGGTGAAACAATGATCATAGAGTGGAAATGAGTGTTGTTAGTATGAAGCTCCAAAACAGCTTCAAAATAGCTCCATTTTGAAAAACACTGAATCAATTAATTATAGTCCGTGGGAACTGACAGACCAGGACTCTTTTAAAATTATTATATTTGGATTCTGTACCATGACAAAATTTAAAATCCATATATTCTATATTTATTCAGCCTACAGAATTGAGAGGTAAGTGAATGTAAACTCATGACTTCTTTGAGTTAAATTTTCATTATCCCTGGATTTCATATTTAAGTTTTATATACAACCATGTAATACTAAAAAGGTTTTCAGTTTTGTTGTAAAATCCTTGTTTTAGATGGTGGCTTTTTAAATTAATGAAAAAGCACTCAGAAATTACTTTCTAAAAACGTTTACCTCTTATTTAGTATGCTCAGATAAGCGTCACAAAATATTTACATTGGCAGTAACTCTTTTGAAGTCCAGACTATTAACTAGCTAAGTCTAAGGAACACCGCACAAGTGATAGATAAGCATTTCCAAATTGGGAAAAGTGCAGACTTCCTGCACACATTTATATGATTTATCCTCAATGCTTGGAACTTGGACAATGAAAAGGGGCAGGTAGTAGGTGTATTCCTACTGTCAGAAATGTTGTTATAAATATTCAAAATATTTATCGAGTTCTTTCTATGTGCGAGAATTTTTCCGAGTGTTTGCAACATATAAATTCAACAAGGAAAGATTGCTTTTCTTGATATTATAAACTAACAGGAAGGTGGGACAGACAATATAACAAACAAGTAAATTATGTTGCATTTTGGATTTCATTAATGGCCATCAGGGGGAAAACACACTGAGTAAAAGAAATCAGGAGCAGTTAGATTTTGAGGGAGAGTACAGGATTAAATAGTGTAGGCTAGCAAGGCCACAAAGGTGGCCAGAAGTGGTGGTACTGTAGAAAAATGTGGAAGGCAGAGCTAATAGGCATTTACTTATCGTGATACACAAGGCAGACAAAAGGAAGATTCCAGGTTTTAGGTTTGATCAATTATAAGCACAAATGAGTGTTTCATTAAAATGCTTTCCTACAGACAACCTGCATATTTTGTTCATGAATAGCTCATGCTAAGGCAAAAGTCTTACCCTTGAGTAGTTTACTGTCAAAACTTATTTTGGGGATTTAAGACCTTATTCCAATACTCTTTGTCTTGTCTAATTCAGAACTTAAAAATTATGAAATATAGCTATATTTTAAAAATTATTGAGCAATTTAAGATTATAGAATTATATTTTGCTTCTCATCTGAAAATATCATTGTAGTTCATTTAGCTTTTAGAGTACGAGAAATAGATATATCACCGTAAGCCATCTATACATTTACAAAATGTTTTTTGACTTCTAATATGATTTAGATTGTTTTATCTATGCTATTCTCTCCATGATCCTGGGAGACAGCAAGGATTTTTAAGTGATTGCGTTGTCTCCTTTTTCAGATCCAATACACTCATTTGTGTTGTTTGGTGTAGCTCCAACGGATGAAAAATGGGGATCTTGGAGAATCTTGTGCTCAAAGTTTAATGTCCCACACAAACATCACATCTATGACCTTTCCCCAATGTCCATATCTCTGGAAATAGGGAGAAATATCCACTATTAATGAAACTTAATCACTTCATCAGAATGATGTAATAATAAATTACTTTTTATTTTCCACAGAACTCTCACTTGTATTTTCTCATTTTTGCTATTTTCCTCGTTTTTTGTTATTTGGGAAGATCAACAACTGGCGTTTGGCTGTCTAGAACGTAGTAAAAATTGTTTTATGGATTATAATCAAAGAATCTTGAAATTTATCAATGTCACCATCAGAACACGTGGGAATGCAAAAAGAAATACATCATTGTAAAGTTCAACAGGTGAAGTGAATACATACGTTCTTTTATTGTTAAATAACTGAAGCTATGAGAAGAATCACAAGCTTTATTGTCTGGACGCTGGTAAAGTATCGAGTACTAGGTTTTATCCAACGATACTTCCGGACAAATACTTTGGTGTCCATCTCTTACTTTTTCATCCAGTGACTGCAGGATCTGGCTTTCAGTGCATCCAGGGAGGTGCTGTAATGACACTGATAGCATTACTGTAATATACTTCCTTTCTTTAAATAAGCCAGGCAAGTAATTTCTACCAATCTCTTTTTCAGAAGCCGAAATGAAGTCTGGTTTTGTAATTTAACAATAACTTCAGCATTTTTTTTTCCAATCCTGGGCAATTATGGGGCTGACAGGGAAGGAAGTCATTTAAGGAAGCAAAAGACCTTTAACTGCTAGAGGAAGAAATTTTAATGGATGTAGGAAGAGTCGTTTGTAAGAAGTGCAGATAAATGCAAAATTGCATTATTAATAAGTAATATTATTAGAGCCTGTTCTAACCACTCACACCTCCGAATCATTTTGGGGTTCCCTGACTTCCGATCATTCTCTGTCCTCCCGCGATGACGCCCCTTCTCCCAATCCTTGTCAGGAGTTTAAGTGCCGTCGTCAGAGAGAAGCTTATTATCTACCTGCTCCCCCAGCTTCTTTCTGAGTGACACGCCACCCACGCCTCCCTGCACTGCTCTCCTCCTTCCCTGGTTCCCGGGGGGACTCGGAGGAGCTCGGGAGGGAGCCCAAGGATACCCTCTCCTGCACCCCGAGGGCAGAAGCTTCCGAGACCCTCGCTCACCCCCAAATCCACAGCGAGGCGCGCTGCCGCCCCCCGCGCGCGCTGCAGAGGGGGAGCCAGCCCTGCGCTGCGCTCCAGCTGCGTCTGCCCGAGCGCGGCACGTGCTCCCGGCGCTGGCGCGAGAGAGCGAGCGAGCGAGCGAGGAGCGAGCGCCGCCACCGCGGGCCCCGCAGCCTTCCGCCGGCTGTCACCGCTGCCTCCATCGCTGACACTAGCGCTCTCGCGGCTGCCAAGGCCGCTACAGGAGCGCAGGAAGCTCGCGAGCGGCGGCTGGCTGGGGGCGCAAGGCTCTGGGCGCGCACCTGGTAAGCACAGCGCGGGTTTCCTTTCTCTCCGCTATGGAGTTACCACGAATGTAGGATGCCGCCGGGCCCCTCCCCCGCCAGGGATGGAGGCAGATCTGGCAAGGGGCGGGAGCTCGGGCTAAAGGGACCCAGAAGGGCAGGTGGCGGGCAGGTGGAGGGCTGGTGGAGCCGGGGACCTTACGAGGTCCTGTAAGTTCAAAAAAGTCACCCTGCAAGGACGTGTGCCCTGTGGATCAGACATGGATTTCGACTCGGGGAGCCTGGGCTACCGCGGTATTGCTCCGATGGGAGGTTCACGAAGATCATTTTGTTTTTATTTGTATAAGAGAGGGATTTAAGTGGGCTCGTTTCCATAGAAAATGAACTAAAAAATCAGAGAGAGAGAGAGAGAGAGAGAGAGAGAGAGAGAGAGAGAGAGAGAGAGAGATATCTGAACCAAAAAGAGGCGTTTGCAGTTTCTGTCTCCCCTCTCCCCTCCCCACTCTCATGCCAATACATGTGCACGGAAGGCATGCCTTTAACAAGGGAAAGGGCTTCTCTATTTTTGAGGTCATTAGGTGTTCGGGCTAATAAAAACACCTGCTGGTATTTAATTCAAAGAGAGAGCCGTAGAGGGTCAAGGTTGGGTGTGAATACCACTGTCATATTTCTGAAATGACAAAGCCATGACACAGTGTCAAAAAAGAAAGATTTTCAAGAACTATATGGGCCATTTTAAGGGGATACACCTGAGACTCTGGGTCTCCAAACTCAAGTTCAGATACTGCCAGTGGAGCTAAGAAGACATTTTTATTCTTGGTCCCTTTATTGAACTTTGGCAGAAGATGATGACAGGGACATAGCTAGAAAGAGGGAAGAGTGAATGATCTGTCTCGTGTGGCAGGAGAAAGAACTTGGCATTGAGGTTTGGCATCACTGTGTTTACGAGCCTTGTTCTGGGTTCAGAGAAATGTGTGACCTTGAACAAGTCCCTTAATCTTTGTTTACTCAGTTTTTCCATCTGCAAAATGTAGAGGTTGTTCTGCCTTGAGTCACTAAGGTCTCTTACAGTAGTGTTTATGATTGCATTTGAAGATTGCATTGATCAGGTTTGAAGATCAATATACAAAAAGAACACCCAAATCGTTTAGATAAAGGAAGCTTCAAGGTGTTCTTTGAAGTATTAAAAACAGGTACAAGATCCTGGCTGTGCTGTGGGAGTAACACATCCTGAGGAGTCTGTGGAAACCAGAGAGAACGGTCAGAAGTCTGATTGCAGCCAAATGAATCTGGAGGGTTGAGAGCTGTGTGGAAAGGTTTGAATGCACAAGCCTTTAAAGCCATATGTTATTTTATTTTATTAAGATAGCAATTTAAAGAGGCAGTTTAGTGTCAAGCCATTGGGTTCTTTGAATTTGAAGAGCTGAGAAATAATTTGGATTTGATTCTGATAAAGGAAACGACATCCGGGTTTAATTGTTAGGCACCCAGGATGACAAGAATGGCTTAAAGTAGGATATGAGTATAAGGTGATCTGGATAAAGGGTTAGGGATGAAAAAAGAATGGAAATCACTTCTAGGACAAAGGTTTTAATGCTCTAGAGAGGAGACTGGCACCTGTCATGTCTCTGACTCCTCTTCCGCTTGTCTGAAGTAGGCACAAATATCTTTTTCTCTCATTTTACGTTTGTTCTTAGAATGTAGAAATTTTTATCTGCTCAGAAACTGAGATGGTGAACCTGTGAAACTTAACCCTAAACAAACCCCACCATGCAAACATGTGGCTAAGGGGCTTGTCCACCCATCCAGTTTGCCCAGGAATCTGTTCCTAAAGGAACTCACTGTGCCACTTGGTGGCACCAAAAAGTTGCAAAAAGAACTCTGTTCTCTATAAATACAAACTACCTCCCCTCCCTCCTCCGCCTTCTTTCCTTCTCCCCTTCCCCCCTTTTTCAGTAGCGGGAAGATTACTGCACACGCCGCCCTCAGTTCGGCTGTTCTGCGTGCACTGAAGTGCAGGGGATGAGCTTGAGATCACCTCGGGGCGGGGGGGGGGGAGCCCAGGATTGGAAAGACCGGCTCTACCCCATTGATCCTGCCACCCAACTTTATGGGGGGCCAGCTAGACCGCGTCTCACTGCCCGCTGCGTGGCCGACAGGGGGGTAAGCTTGCTAAGTGTCTGTGTGCCCAAGTATCCCTTGGCCCAAAAGAATATAGCAGCTACTAGCTTGCTGAGTAGCTTACAGTTTGGTTTGGGAGAAGGAGACGTGGGTGGAGCGGGGGTTGCCAGAGCCAGTGAGCTTGATGTCTGCTCCATTTGCGGATGGTCTTGTTTAAACCTGTTGGTGGAAAAGGCGCGAGGAAGGGCATAAAGGAGGGAAAATCTGCAAGTGTTGAGGCAGGGATTCTGCATGCCTTCGACCCGAGTTCCTGCTCTCTAACTCAGGCAAGGGGAGCCTGAGTTTCAAATGCAAACTGCACTCCCCCAAACCATCTGACGGCTCGAAATTGAGCAAAGCAAACATAGGAGGGAAAGAAGATTTTTTTCCCCCAATAAATGTGGTAACAGTCGCTCTTCCGCTCGGTGCAGGATGAGGGGACAGCGGGTGGTGCTGAAAGCATGGCTCTTTTACTCAGGCCAGTGCGCCTTTCTCAAGCACCAGACTGAGCTCTCCCACTCTTTCTGCTCCATGGGTGCATCTTTACCTTCCCTTCAGACACAAAGCCCACTAGCTATCCCAGAGCAGCAGCATGAGCAGTATGCAGAGAATGGAGCCCATGGTTCAGAGACTAGGTGATGAGAACCCAGGGGAGCTCCCTGGGCATGAAGGATGGCTAGTCTGCACTTGGGACCTCTGAGAGGGAAATGATAGGTTCACCTGGAGGGATCTTCCACCTGGTGCCATGACTTCCATCTGTCCACATTCCCTACAGGACAGGTGTCATGGCGAAGGGGACTGGAAGACAAGATAACGTGTGTTGTGCTTATTTAGGAACAGTTTAAGTCCTGCTGCAGCTAAACAGGAATAGCCAGGCTGATTCTCCATCACTTTACTTCTTGAAAGGAAATTGATGCAAACCAGTGAGAAGGCATTTCTTCTCCCTTCCTTACATGGTATTTTACTATTTGAAGTTCCTCAGGATTGAGCTAGAAAATCTGTACTCTTAACACTCACTACTATCCTTGTGGGAAGGTTAAGGAATATTACACTAGTCTTTATAACCCCTTCCACCAATGTGGCATACTAAAGATTTTTCATGGAAGATTCTGAGACCTCTCTCTCTCTCTCTCTCTCTCTCTCTCTCTCTCTCTCTCTCTCTCTGTGTGTGTGTGTGTGTGTGTGTTTGTGTGTGTGTGTGTGTGTGTGTGTGTGTGTGGATTTGGGAGTGGTTAGATACACCCTTGTTAGGTGTGCTCTGTGCCATACCTTTCATGGAGCACAGGAAATTTTTTGTTAATTTTTCTGTTACTTCTAAATAAGTTCTGTTACTTCTAAATAAGTTCTAAATAACTTCTAAATAAATTACTTAAGAATAAGTTGTGGATATTTATATTCTTTATGAATGTTGATTAGAATTCTAAAGATTCATTGATTTAAGAGTTGAAAATACTGCTTTTGAACATGTCAGTTTAATAACACGCATCCCACCTTCTGTGGTAGAAAGCCTTCTGTGGTAGAAAGCTTTTCAGCACACTGGACAGATCCCACAAAGTTTCTTAGATAAGAGGTGGTGAATGCTTTCTAAACACTCACCTGTAGCCTTTACATTTTGCATGAAAATATTACAGTCTAGCTATTTTAATTGAAGCCACTAGAACTCTGTGCTATTATACAGTAATGTTTTTCTTGTGGGTTATTTGCTCAGAAAAAATTATGAAATGATATATTGAGATTATTTATCAAGAAGGGGTTGATATTTAAAAATCTAAGTACTTGACTAAATCTTCTTTTTACCAGCATGGACAAGTATAGGCCTCTAACATCAGTGAATTTTATATATTATAGACCTGGAGACCAACAACTAGAGTAAAAATTCAGAGATACACACACAACATAGATTATAGAGTCTTTGGGGAAAAACTTTAGTAACTGTGTACCATTTTCAATTTTTCTTTGATTATTGACATTATTATGTGTTCTAATACAATGGTTTATTTCTAAGCACGTGTACTTTTGTAGCTAAAGAGTTTTAGTATTTCTTTTTCAAAATACATTGAATATTTTACAGAAGTGTTTGTCTTTAAAGAATAGCCTTTTGCCTTTAAAGAATAATCAAATATCTTAAGTAAGGAAACTGAATTAAATGGTAATAAACAGAAGATGATACTGTAAGTAGAAAATATGGCATAAAATTAATCATAAAAATATTGCATTTATTCATATAACCATGTCAATTTTATCTGTGCTTTTTTGTCTGCATGGGATGAAGAAAAAGGCATATCTATAGCTCTTTATGCCTTTTTTATATAAATGAATTAAGTGTAAACAAACTTTTAAAATAGTGAAGATTATGTTTTGATATGTGGTAATGTATATGATATATGCTTCAGCTAATTTGGCTTCTTTGGATTTTGACTATCTTGAAGATTTATTTCTATAAAGAAGGAATATTATACAATTTGACAATGTATGTTATTTTTCATATTTAGGGAAATATTAATCCTATTCCCAAGGCATCATTTAACTGAAATTTTAGTCATAAAATGGAACTTAGCAGACATAAAACAGGAATATTCAAATAAATATTTTACTACATATTTGTGTGGCACAAGAAATTAAAATTTTACACTGGGCAAGGCAGTACACTCTGGTAATCCTAACCCTCCGAAGGCTGAGACAGAAAGATTGCTGTGAGTTTGATGTAATCTTGGGCTACAAAGTGAGTTCAAGGCCAGCCTGAAATGTATAGAGTAACCTTGTCTCTCAGAAAGAAAGAGAAAAAGCAAAAGAAAAAGATGACAAAGAAAAAGAAAAAGAAAAAAAAGGGGAGGGGAGAGAAAAGAAATTTTTATTTTATT